AAAATTAATAATAAACATGTTAAAATATCCCGTTTAAGTTCTAATGATACTGTTGTTTATTGTTTCGTCTGGATTTCATGAGAAAGTATTTTCCGAGCCCCCTTTCTTTAATAAAAAAAACTTCGTAGTAAAGTTTCGTTGCTAAATTGGTGTCCAGATTCTTAAATATTATACAAAGATGTTAAATTTCGCGTTGAATAGTAACACCACATTTGTTTACCATTTATTTTATTGAAATTTCAATGCGTACTATTTTTATTTTTGAATTCTTAGCAAAGAACGATCTTTTAAAATGTATGGTACGATCTCCTAAAAATAAAGTTGGCAACCCTGCTTGACGCACTTTGTGTCTGCTAATATTACTAGTAAAATAAGCAATTAAGAAATATCAAAGTGGTTTGTCTGTGTGTTGACTAATCTTGCTAGATTCACATGAATTAAATATGATTTAATCAATAAATTTACGCGATGCCTACGTTTCACTATTGTGTAGGTAGCTTCGCTGATTAGTGATTAGTTATAAATAACTTACTTATACATCAAATTCTATTCTCTGACAAACCAATGGATTAGTAGCTAAGCGTATCAGAAAATGTTTATCAGTATCTACTTACATACATTACAAAGATTTTTAAAGATGATCAAGGAAGATGGCCTGCGGTAAGACCCCTCTTTGAGGAGTAGCTGGAGAGACGTCACGGCGTCCTGACCGATCGGTTGACGCAAGTTCTTACCGGACCGAGGGCAGATCGTAGAGATAATTTTTTCACTTTATGTAAACCATTATTTCTCATTCCACGATAATAATATTTTAAAATAAATAAATACATAAATAAATAAATAAAAATCATAAAATGTTAATTCCGCGGGCAAAACCGCGCGCACGGCGCTAACTTGCTAGAAACACATTTTTCTGGAAACTATTCGCAGTTGTCAAGACTCAAGACATCACGCATAGACGGAATGGCAACAGCGCACGATCTCAAAGTCGCATTCACGCGTCATTCGGTAGTAACCTTGGCGCTTGTTTGAATTTTCGAACAGCGCCATCTATTATGAATGTTTACGAATTGCAAACTCTTAACACAACAGCAACCAAATTTCTCGGTGGTTCTATAAATTTCTGTCAGATGGTGCGATTCAGGTCACTCACACATGTAAAGACATTTTCGTTTTTTATTCGGTCTAATTCTCCTAGAAATACTGTTTTTTATATAAAATTTGGGCCATACGCGACCATAATACATTATAAAGTCTCATTATGTTGCTTTCATTCTGTAGAAACTATTTATTTACGGAGATTTCTACACCTGAAAAATGTATGGCGAGGTATATCTAGGCATTCACCTTAACAAGGAATTATGAAATAAATGCAATTTAAAACTGTAATAAAATGAATGACACATTGTTCATGGTGTAAGGTCATTGACAAGTTCAAAGAAATTGGTTTTCCTTTTAAATTAATTAAGTTCATTAGTACTAGGATATTACATGTATGGGAAAACCTCATAACTAAGCTAACCTTTTATTTAACTTTACTAAATTGAAAGATAATTTCTTAGTAAGTAATTATTGTAGTACTAAGACGATAAAATTAAATCATAATGGAAATGAGATATAAGTAATTATAATATTTCACATTCTAATTTCATAGACATTCTAATACCTACATAGTGAAATGTGCGTGTTACATTACCTATACAGTGGCATTAAGTGCTGTAATATGCAATTCTACCTACCCCTTTGAATTTCAAAGATTTATTCCAATATTTCCCATAAGAGCATGATGTCTAGTATTATGCTTGGTGTATGGTAACAGGGTCCACTTCTATATGACCTTGAAGTGGTGAAAAGTGGGTGCTACATTGAAAATATGATAAAATGGAAGTGTTTCATTTTACAAAAAGTGAAATTGAGTACTGTTTTTTCTGACATAAAATTTATTTTAATTTTGTCTTATTACTGTGTATTTTTGTTATTACTAAGCAAAATTTGTTTTAGGGAAGACAAGGAATATTTCACATTTATTTATTATTATTATGACACACATTGTTTACTTGTTTACGATTTAATTTCTTATATTGTTTTTGAGCAATGTTTTCCTTCATCTTTTAGAAGTCGACGTCTTTTGACCAGAAACAGTCATACATAATATTTATTTAATTAATTTATTTAATAAATCCTATTCATTATTAGAAGTCTCTTATAGCCCGGTTCAATAACCAGGCAATCCATAGATTTGTTTATTCAAGACAGAATTTTAATATAAGCCATATTATACAAAATCTGCCTAATATTATGAATGTGAAGGTTTGTGTGTTTATGTGTGTGTTTGTATTTCAACCATATCACAACGGCCAAAGATTAAGACATAAGTTTTTTATCCCATAGATATGTGGTTTAAATTGTTGACAGAAGCTGAATTTCCTATGCTGTAAAAAGTTGTTATGATGCAGTTAATAACATGTTTATTTATATTCTATCTTTAACCAAATCAGTTTCTGTTTATTTTAGTTATTATTATTATTTCATCAAGTTCTGATGATAGTTCCTAATATAGTTGCTTATTAGATAGTTGTGTTATTAATTAACCAGCTAAACTGAATAAAGCTGCAAAATCTACAATATATAATTGGAATAGACACATTGAGAATGTATAGAACAGTCAATCAGCAGAGGGTCGGTAGAGATATGTCTGTTAATGAAACATGAAACATATTGAAAGAAAAAAGAATAAGTGATATTTATACATGGACTCACATCTTTGTTACATAAAACTACAGAACATTTAATTACTATGTTTTACGGCTTACTCACTTCACTGTTTGACAAGGAACTCGACTAGTTTCAAGCCATTCTAACGGCTTATGTCTCTGAGCAAACACTAGGCAGTTTGTTCAAGTAAACAGCCAGAAATACTCCAGCATCACTGAATTAGCATGCACTGTTTATCTTGTTTCTAAGAATAACAAAAGTTATACATATTATGCTTACTCATAATTCAGTATTTTGATAAAAACTAAAATACACAAGTTGCTGTCGGACTTTGCACATAGAATATGAAGTAAAATTTTCATACGGAATAACTATTTAATAAAATCAATTATGAATGAATCATATTTCAATAATTCCTTATCAATCACTGGAAGTGTTATGCAAATTACAATTATTTATTATTAATAAGAAGAGGTAAATAAAAATAAATTACTCATGTATGTGCAAACCTCGGGAAAGGCTGGTGCGATTCAGATAAAAGTGTTTTCCAAATACATATTCATAATTTTTCAAGAAAGGTTTTTATAAATAGAATATATGAAGAATTTACATAATAGTAACATTGGTTATATCCCCAACTCGTAACCGCGGGTGTAGTAAAGGTTACTATGTTAAATTGTAAATTTTTTATGTAGTTTCAAACTGATTGCTAGAGATTGCCTCAAAATTTATCCTATCACTACTGATTACTGATTACAAAGCTGATAAACAACTGTGCACCATGTGTTGCAATGAAAATATGTGAAAAAGTGCACCCGATTCCTTACTACCTTTTTTTTAGTCTTTAGTCAGTAAGAGTCTGACACTCCCTCCATACTCACCCAGCCGGGAGAAGCCATTCGATGATTTTCCCCCTCAAAAAAATCCTTATTACCTACCTACAACTGCACCATATTGTAACCTATTCTAAATTAACTGAAAAAACAAGTCTGATTTTCGTCTGTCTGCCATAGTTGCCAAATTCAGCAATCGAACTTAAGACGCCCTTCTCGACGAACAAGACATTAACTCGTCGAGTACCGGTTTTATAGACACAATTAAAGAACAATAGGTCGCGGTCACCGGTGACCGCTTGGTGTTTGACAGTTTAATTACATAACATTTACCTTTAATCTGAAAGGATAAGCAGAGATGCAGTTTTCACACCATTAGTTTAAACGTACTAACCTCGGAAACTACTGGTTCGATAGTCATTAGTTTCTGTGTTGGATAGTCCATTAATCGAGAACAGCTATAGACTACACCTAAAACATCACGTCATTATCTAGATTGTATTAAATTTCTGTCAATGTACTGAAAAATCTCAAGTTAAAGCGATTGGGCCATTTGCCTTGAAATTTTCTCAACTCATGAAGTAATTAGTACAAAAACGTCTTGTATCTTGTATTGAGACAGCAAAAACGTTTTGTTGGTAATTAGCAGCTAATAGTTTCGACCTTGAATCCGTACTTAGTGAAACTGTTAATTCCTAGTTTTGATCCACTTCCTTGGTGTCGTATGTATATTGGAATTATCTGGTTTGATGCTACCTTCACCAAAATAAACTTCTAAACGTCTTGTATAGATTCAATTTACACCATTCATGGTGCCATATAATATATGCGCCATATATACTGCTGTCGTGTTGCTTCTTTACGCCACAAACAACAACAAATCCAGCGAAAACATAATAATTTATTTAGTGTGTCTCACGAAAGCTACTATACAAATAAATCCAGCGCTCGATCGTCTCATTTTCGTTCCTGAAATGCCGTAATTGATATCTTCCTAAATATGTCATCGTAATAAAATTTGTATATGGGACAAACATCCAAATCTTCCGCACAGATGACAAAATAAGGTTAACGAGATGAAATGATGAAATCTATACCTAATGTCTAACTATCCCAACGGTTATTAGTTATAATAGGTTCTGTTGTGTTGTATCATGTTGTTTAAAAATCTCAGTAGTAGCACGGAGTCTGGACTCTGGATATGTGCCCGGTATATGGCAATAGGCTCACCCCCTATTACATGGGACTCATAACATAAATAGTGAAAAGTGGGTGTTACATTGTACAGTGGCATTAAGTGTCGTAATGTGCACCTCTGCCTACCCCTTCGGGGATAAAAGGCGTGATGTTATGTTATGTTGTGTTGTATACTCCAATTTTATCAACATTTCATCCTGCTATTTTCTGATATATAGCAGGCACATGACTCAAAAGTCGTTGTTTTGTCTACAGCTGGTACTTCAGAGATCTGTCTCGCGCTGAGGCTACGAGGCTGCTCCTCAACGAGACGGAGAGTGGAGTGTTTCTCGTCAGGGACTCCAAGACTATCACAGGAGACTATGTGCTGTGTGTCAGGTTTGTTACACTTCCAGTTTAATTTAACTACGATATCTTAATCACACGTCAACAGATGTCGTAGCAGGCGTAGAAGGAGATAACAGGATGAACTTGACGTCTTGAGGATTGACCTCAGACTGCTTTGCGCAGAAACGAGTGGAAGGAGGGTAGGAAAGCCCTGCAATGGAGCCCTTCAATTGCAAATGGATATTTATTAGTTTTTCACGCTAGATATCACTACTAACAAAAACTAAGCACCCTTGCGTATTTATTTACCAGCCCACCAAAAATAAAACCCTTCAAAATTCCAGAGAAGACGACCGAGTCTCCCACTACATAATAAACCGCGTTGTATCCGCGGACGGAACGATCCGGTTCCGGATCGGAGACCAGCTCTTCGCCGACATGCCGGCGTTGCTAGCGTTCTACCGGCTTCACTATTTGGACACGACGCCCTTAGTCCGGCCACTGCCGCAAGCGCTGGCGAAGGTAGCCGCCCCACCGCCACAGCAGCCACACCAGGTTTTGGAGCTGGTTATCGCGAAGTTCGATTTCTCAGGAAATGTAAGTACTTTTTCTTTATGTGTACATAAATAAAAGGAAGAATAACCATTTATAAGCATTCCAAAGAGTAAGTCATAAAATAATACGTGAATGCGAAAGTTATGGTCGATGTAACCATATTGTTTTGTTAGCATCACACTAAAATGACCAAGACAGATTCTTGCACTGCTCGATAATTATCATCTGAAAAGTTAAACTAGTTTAATAATCTGTGACAGCACGCAAGCTTCTTTTAAATCGGGGAAACTCGTTAGTCTCATTGCTAATTGCAATAAGCCTACTATACACTAAGCTTAACCCCACACTCAATGATTTTGCAAAAAATCCCAATCTACAATCCTAATTAATTCCTACTCAGTAATCAAACCCGAAATCCTTCCCTTGATAGTTGCGGTTGCAAGGTTATGTACTTCATTATATGTATATTCATCTTTAACTCCCAAATATTCCATCCCTGCTGTTACCATCAACAAATAAAATAACTCCAGTCAAAACAATACAAATTGTTAATATCTTAATACATAATCTTAATATTAATGTCGCTTGTAATAGTCCAAGTATTATATTTGGGCATGAACAATAGAAACATCAATATTTTATGACACTCGTCTTAGTTATGTTATAACTGCCTACAATATGAATAACATACATGATAGTTTTGCTATTGCAACTATTGTTAGACATTAATTATGTTTTCGGCTTACTCACGTAATTGTTTGACGTGGAACTCGACTAGTTTCAAGCAATGCTAGAGGCTCATGTTCATGAGCAGCATTCCGCGATACACGACGCGGTGACTGTCGCATTTTAAACTATTCGACTTCCTCGTCAATCAGTTACGTGAGTAAGCCGAAAACATACATAATAATTAATTTAGTATGTCTCACGAAAGTTATAATATAAAGGTTGTTAGACATATTAATAGGGTAGCTTCCATTTTTTTTTAACACATTGGATGCAGTGTGCCTTGTCGGACAATCATGTCGGACGACGCTAACCTTTAACAATTTTTGTCGACAGTTATAGGCTTAGTGTCCATCTGGTAGATTATATTAAAACAGTAGACATGTATATTTTCTTTTCTTTCAAAGTTACATATTTTCGGCGAAGTATTGATTTGAAATATCGTGTGACGTCAGAAGCTACGTTTTGTCTAACGTGTGACGTACCGAGCGACCTCCCACTCCTAAACTTAAATCTGTTTTTTTCTAAGAATTGATTGTTTTCTTGTTTGACAATATAAAAAGATAGTGTCAATATTTTTTCATTATCTAACTGACGGACTAATTAGGTTTTTAATTTTCATACGCTGTCAGTTACCCAATTATGTTTAGCGGTAAAATCAAGAACAGTTTGATGAGATAAAGCGTATTGTCTATGTTGCGTTCACGTTGCGCATGCATTCGCAACGGATACTGGACTAGTTTCAAGTCACCAAAGGGGCCATACAAGGCCGTAGCCAGGGGGGATCAAGGGTGATTAATCCCCCCCCCCCCCCGAAATAAAAATTTATTTTATAATTTTGATAAGTGTTAATCAGATTGCAGTAATATTGATGAGACTGCAGTTATAACAAAACAAACAACAGACAGTGAGCCAGTGAGGTTTTTTCATAAATATATACATAATAAGTAACACCATTTTATTTCTTTTATTAAAGCGATTTCATGTTTTTCTACTGTTCTACCAAATCAAACACCCCCTGAAATTATTTTCTGGCTACGGCCTTGGGCCCATACATATACGGGATTAGGTATATTGCGTTTCTTAAGGTTACACTAGTCGATATTTTTTCCATAGAAAGTTCGGGGTGGTATTACTCGACAGTGTGAATGTGTACCTACAAAATTAAACACGATATCGTTTTATCTTGTAATTACATTTGTCGGTACGGAAACAAAAAAAATAAAAAAAAAACTACTAAAAAGTTATGAGCCAACAAAGTTTTGTTTTTCTTTACAATTTTAACGCAACTTTGGGTGTTAAAAAATACCACTAATCGTGTAAAATCTCCAAACCGAAGACCGTACCGACTCAGCACAATTACCATAGAGTTCTATAAAATTTATTTGAAATTGATCTAAGCAGTGGTTTTTTCAAAAAACGCTATTTTCTAAAGCACTAAATCGTACTTTTTTACGCACTCGTTTTGTGATGGATTATCGTGCATTTCACTGGATAAAACTCCCCCGGCAGTGGCGCGGGGCGGAGGGAAGACGCACACGCGTTTTTGCACAATTTTTTGCACAATTATTATTTGCACGACAGGCGCTGTCGTGCAATTGTCGTGATTTAGTGAAGTTGTTTTGGTTGATTGCATGACACTTGGAATTTTCAAGTGTCATTGGAAAATACATAATAAACAATGGGTAAGTCGTCCCTACAATTTATTATACCTTATCTAATTAGATTTTATTAGATACAGTTATCGGTGCGGATCCCAGCAGCAACCCAGCCATCGTGAAGGACACACTGGGCGTCGGGGATCGCGGGACGATATCCGGCCACTGTAAGCGCGGGCCTGCGGACGGCGAGCATGGGTGGCTCCCCGTCCGACCAGAAACAAACCCGAGCGTCCGGCGCGTCGCGTTCCACGCGTGCCTCAAAGAGCCATCAGACCACCACAGATGGGGCCCAATAGGGCCGATGCCGATTCGGAGTCGCGGAGAACCTAACGGGTAACCGGGGCTCCGGCTCGACGTGCAGGAGAAGGAACGGGGTGGTTTTTAGTCAGTAAGAGTCTGACACTCCCTCCCGCCTCTCCTAGGCAGGAGCAATCAATCGATGATTTTCCCACAAAAAAAAAATTCTACTTGTTTATAATATCAATTAGTATCTTTACTTCGGACTTTAAACCAATGACCAAACGAAAAAAAATTTCCAAAGATATAATTTCGAGTACTATACTGAATTGCGTGTTGTAACATTTTACTTGAACTCACAAAATTAATCATATCTTCTGATAGAGTGAACCGATTTCGATGAAACAAAAACTAAGTTACACCTCGAGTTGCGTAGAATTTTTATATATTAACAATGTCTGCATTGAATTCGTAGATTTTACGTGATGCGCGCACAAACAAACAGACAAACAGACAAACAGACAAAAGTTTCAAAAATGATGGAAATGGGTTCTGTTGGTTATCTTTTAACACACTGGCTATTTTTTTTGTCAATTTCTTCAATGTACAAAAATTACTTTTCTACAGATTTATTATATGTATAGATATAGATAGATAGATATAGATAAATATTACGATTACCAATAAAGATTTTTCAGGTTCATTGTTTTTTTTTGTCTATAAATAAAAGCATAATAAATAAGCAAGTAACTAAAAGGGTGAACCCTTAGCAATTATACCCAGCCTTGCGGCGCTCTCCTGTGCTGCTAATACAGATACTATACCGGATGAATATTGAGCGTTGACTCAGATTGCGCAGAAATCAAGTCTCTTTAGTAGTAGGTATTGTGAGAAGGATTGTTGCTACCTACAATTCTTCTCCCAAAAATCCTTTTACAGTGATTAGCTCGCCAATGTATACCTACCCACTTTGATGCCGAGCGCTCAAGATTCGAGCCGGTATCTCTACTTATGTTTGTGTCAGGGAGGTACCTAGTGCGCAGCTTTATGTTACGTTCCAAGCTGCCAAAAAGTCTGTAGGTACCTAACACGAAGTTGGAGTTAGGGACCTACCTACACGATGTAGGTATGAAGTCCACAAGTTTTGTTACGGACGAAATGACGAAAATCTAATTATGTGGTATTATCACTACTTCTAGTAATCTTAGGTAGTCACCGACGTACCTAACTAGGTAAGTATATATTTAATTTTATGAAAACATAATGACAGATCAATTGTCTCGAAATTCAGGAAATAATTCAGACCAGTAAGTACCTACCTAAATAGGTAGGTAGTTCCTGAGATTATTATGTTCAACCAAACAAACTATAATATTAGTTAAACATTATAACCTGATGAAAATATGACAGTTGAACTGTATTATTTAGATAAAAGATGCATCTAGCTAGTTTGTAGTAGGTACATAAAGTTATTGGTACTTAGAAAAAAAAATATTATATAAAATTATATCCCTAGCCTTTCGTGGATTCTTCGGATCGGATGATAAGTTGATATCATAAAAAAATTGTCAGTAATTACAATGCCCTGTGACAATAATTATTAAATTCATGCGAGCATCATAAAATCGTAGCAGCGTGTACGACTTTACTACGAGTAAACACACACAGCACAGATATATGCACCGTTCAGTGACGTTTTTCTGTGTTTGTGTGCGTGCGAACAATACGTCGTGCAAATAGATAGCGTCTAACTGCTCATCACTGGTACTATTTCTGTCACACACGATGTTAGATGAGACAGCGCGCTTTTTGGCCACGCCCTTGATTGAGTTCGAGCCCGCGACTAGTTTAACCTTAAGAGTCATAAGCTGTATTCTAGCTGGAATGAACATTACAAACTATTGGAACTGCACTACTACTCACAATTTCAATCGAAAACCTATTATCAGAGACATTGCAGAACATTCTTTTTTCAAAAGAGTAACGAGTGGAGTTTTTCGCTCGTTCTTCTACATTCGAATCTACATTTTTGAATGAGCTTCACTGATGGACTGACTGACAGACTATTATTTATTTTGTATTTGTTGACGTTTCAAAAGTACCAAATTATGGTTTAATTGAAATAAATGCTTTGACTTTGATTTTAGGAAACCTAGGAGACTTTTGAAAAAAATCATAACACAAATCTAACTATAGTTGTTTATTTAATCCAACAAATAAATTTCAAAGTAATAATATTATTATTAGTATTAGCATACGGAAGTAACAAAACAAACTTTTTAGTTTTTTATTATAATAACTATTTAATGCATATTAATCAGTTTACATAAGAAAAAAGAAACTAATTATTAATTTACTTTCACTATTCGAATGAATTTCTTCGGTCCATAAAGTCTAAGTGGCCGCGGTAACGCGATGTAACTAGTGTTACGACAGTTCCAGATTATAAATATTTTTATATTTAGGAGAGCCCTGTATACCACGGCCTCTTAGGCCTCCCAAGTCCTCAATCGCCTAACCCCTTAAAGGCCAGTAACGCATTTGTAACTCTAGTTTTATGGTTAGACGTATAGACGGCGCCACCGATTGCTTACCATCAGGTGATCCGTCCGCTCGTTTGCCGCCCTGTACCATAAAAAAGTTGACTACGACGTCACTGGCAGTCTAGTGTAGTTATTAATAGAGATACATTCATTAGGAACCTGGATTTCATGATGATACATATTTCATTAGTTCCTTGTTTGTCGGTATTTTTATTTTAAGACGATATAAGTCATTAGTACTACTGAATTTTTAGCGCTGAATTTAGCTTGAACTAAATGGAAAGGAATATTCGAGATTGGGTATTTGTGCAGATAGTTTCTTTTTGATAATCTCCTCATTGTGTCTTATTAACCGATTTCAAAAAGAAATAAAGGAGCCGATTTTGATGCGAATTTCAAAAAGTGTTTATTATTACACTTAGGAGCCAAGGCTTTAGTATATTCATTATCTGACTTAAAAATTTAGAGAGGTTGACGCCGGATTTTTTAAACGTAGTGTATAAAAGAAATATTTTTATCTATTAATTTATTTTAATAGGTTTTCTTAAACGCTAATTCATAAGGTAGGCGTATTCCCTTCGGTATCTTTTAACTGGTACAGAGATTGGGCATGTTAGGTGCCTTATTTTCAGTGTTACCTATTGTACCTACCTTGAAAAGTGCTCAACCTCAAAAAAGTCTTCTTGTGACCACTAGATACACCGAGAAACAGTAGTTTCTCAGCTAGAAGCATCTAGATAGTTTAGTCTGCAAAAAAAAGCATTGATATAGAGCAGTTGTCAACACCTGTAGAACTGTTTACCGTGACTTCAATCAAGGTGCCTGATGATATAGTTACTCTACAGTAAACCCACTTTAAAACTTTCTAATTTCTATTTTTAAGAATTTAAGTGGTCGCAAGCACAACTGCACGTAGTCTAGAATAGTCCCAGACAAAATGACAATAGCTTTTAAATTATTATGTTTTTGGCTTACTCATGTAACTGTTTGACTAGGAACTCGACTAGTTTCAAGCCATGCTAGAGGCTCATATTCATAAGCAGCATTCCGCGACCCGGCGACGCTGCTATTGCTTACTCGAGTCAGCAGTGCCCAGCGCGCCCTCTGCCGTGATTCACGCGTACTTTCCTCTACCGGTGGTACCTCGCTGTTCAAGAACATGAGCCTCTAGCATGGCTTGAAATTGGCCTTTAAATGGAGCACATGACGTAGCTGGTAAATAGTGACTGCTGGGTTGTATAATGGGTTTATTCCACTTTGTTCACCTGGGTGATAATGTATACTTACTTTTTATTTCATTAAGTTGAAAGGATTATAAGGAGTGTATTTTACGACTCACACGATTGCCTCGTTGGCTGAGTGGTCGCAAGTGCGACTACCGGGCAAGGGGTCTCGGGTTCTAGTTCCGGGTCGGGCAAAATATTACTGGGTTATTAAAAAAATCTCAGTAGTAGCACGGAGTCTGGAATTGTGCCCGGTATATGGCAATAGGCTCAGCTATTACATGGGACTCATAACATAAATACTTAGTGTAAAGTGGGTGTTACATTGTACAGTGGTATGTACACCTCTGCCTACCCCTTCGGTGATAAAAGGCGTGATGTTATGTTATTTTATGTTTTTACGACATTAGACAATATCTAGACTTCTGCACATTTTTCTTTAATATGTTTCAGTACAAAGATAAAAATAGATTGGTTACTCTTTCATAGCAGATGTTAGCTAGTATCTGTTTACATTATGTTTTCGCTAAAATAATCTGGTGATAGTTATTGCTTTATGACTGACGCACGGGTAACGGGTTCGAAGCCCGAGTCGCGCGTCAATTGTATGTGTTTGTATTAAACTGACATCAATATGTATTAGAGTTTTAAAGTGTTTTGCAGTTTTGTTTTTAGTGTAATAAATGGTGTTTGGATTTTGAAATGTGTTAATATTAGCCAGCGATAGATAGTTATTGATTTTCTTCGAACTAAGTGCTGGTTTAAGATTTTGATTCTTAAAGGAGATCATTTTTTTCGGGGCCGTTTCTGAAAGCTGGCTAACGAAAAAAAAGCATATTATTATATTATACGGTCGAATTGAGAACCTCCTCCTTTTTTAAAATGGTATGTATCGTTAGAACTGGCCATTTGGAGCAGAAGTTAATATTGCGTGAAAGTTATAGGATCCAAGATGAAGGAGTTATACCAGTTCTAAGATTCATCTTTTTCATACGTTTATTGCTTTCTTAAGGTGTTAGGAAACGCAAAGTAATGGTCGATATTGCTAGAATAACGTAGCTAAGGCAAGACTCCAAATGGCTAAGTCTAATGATTCGTACCATATTTTACTGTTGGTCGGGCACTTAGAAAATGCCCTAAAATGTATGGAGCCGAAATGATTTCCTTTGTTAAGTACGATTGACATGGCTAGTGGAAAGTGAAAGCGTTTGAACCTTTCTTTATATATATATTGGCATTATACACTCCTAACACTGTTAAGCTTTTCTTTTTACTCTTTACCCAAGTTACATACTAGAGGCGGCACAGTTTGACACTAGTATTACTCAAGTGTGGAAGAGCCATGCTTCGGTATAAATCGGCCGGCTCGACCGGAGTGATACCACGGCCGAGCAGAAAACCGACGTGAAACAACGGTTGCGTTATGTTTCGTCGTGTGAGTGAGGTTACCGGAGGCCCAATTACCCCACCCCACCTAAAAGGCGTGACCTTTATGGTTTATACCAAAAAACCAATAGGATAGTTGACTAAATTTTATTTTAATGTCCGTCTGGTAGATTAATTTAAAACATTAGACTCGTATTTTTTCTTTTCTCACAGCATTAAATACTTTCGACGACATAATAATCTGAAATATCGAGTGACGTCACAATACGCTACATTTTGTAGCACTTAGTGACGTAACGACCTCCCACTTCTAAACTTAACTCCATTTTATTGAAGTATTGTAAGTTTACACGAGAAAATAAAAAATACGTGTCTAATATTTTTTCATTACCTAACAGACGGGACTAATTAGATTTATAATTTTCTTTCCTTAGCAACTACACTATTATATGACACGTATTAAAACTTAACCAATAAATTCCAGGACGCCGATGACCTTCCATTCCGTCGCGGAGAGCGACTGATGGTGATCAACCGTGACGAGGAGCAGTGGTGGACAGCTCGCAACAGCCTCGGACGCACCGGCTCCATACCCGTGCCTTACGTGCAGAGGGTAAGCAGTACACTACATTACTTAGATCCATAGGAATAAAAAATATCACATCAATAGAAGATACCATTACAGTTCATTACTGAATTATACAAGTACATACTCTCTATATATTATATACCTATTGTTCTTGTGTCTTCCAGATCCTAGACCCATCGGGTGTGCCATACCCACCGGCAGAGGCTCTCAACCACCTGGCGGACCCGCCCAGTCCGCCCAGCATCAAACACCCTCAACAACGTACTAATATGCAGGTACATTCAAAGTTTATTATTTACTAGCTACTTCCGCGCGGTTTCACACGCTCTGCTCAGCTCTTATTGGTCGTAGCGTGATGTTTTATAGCCTATAGCCATCCTCGATAAATGCGCTATCCAACACAGAAGAATTATTCAAATCAGACTTGTAGTTACGGAGATTAGCGCGTTCAAACAAAAAAGCTTTATATAATAGTATAAGATGAAAGCCGGCTCGACCAGAGTGAACCACGGCCTCGTAGAAAACCGGTGTGAAACAAAGCTTGCGTTGTGTTTAGCCGTGTGATAAGGTTATCAGAGGGCTAGTTACATGACGCGGTATCTGGGCAACTGGCGGCCGCGCAACGTGTCGCTTGTTCGATTCCCGGACGGAACAACTCTTTGTGTGATCCACAAATTGTTGTTCCGGGTCTAGGTGTCATATATATGTGAACTTGAATGTTTGTAAACGCACTCACGACACAGGAGAAAATCCTAGTGTGGGTCAACGTTTTTATATAAGAACAAGAATTACAAAGCATTTCGCGTTGGTGTTTGAAGTTTGGTGGGTGACCACGGAAAGTAGCGATTGCTTAACTTCAGGTGATTCATCTGCTTCTCTGCCACCGTATCCTATAAAATAGGGTACACAAAGTCATCAATGTTTTACAATATTTTATTAAACTGTCAAACACCGCGAGGACACCGGTGCCCGCAACCTATTGTTCTTTAACTGTGTCTATAACGACGGTACTCAAAGGGTTAATTTTTATTATTTTATCTTCCAGCGCACTCTCCCCGCGCTAGCTCGGGTGAAGCAGCCGAGGGTGCCCAACGCCTACGACAAGACAGCACTCAAGCTGGAGGAGGGAGATATTATTAAAGTTAGTATTTACTCTCTATCAATTCCTAATTTTATTTAACTTTCTAGCTGTGCCCGTGACTACTTCCGCGTGGAATAATGATTCACAGCTCCTCCCTCGTAGGTGATAGCGTGATCATATGTAACCTATATGTTGACCCGCGCTGTTAGTAATCTTTATATATATAATTCTTCTGTGAGTGTGTGTCACTGAACTTTTCTCAAACGACTGGACCGATTTTGATGAAATTTTTTGTGTGTGTTCAAGGGGATCTGGGAATGGTTTAGATTCACAAATTAGCCCGGCAGATGGCGCTGCAGTCGGTATTTAGGTTATTTATCCTAAACAGATGAGCTAATTTGAATGAATTTTTGTTTATACATTCAAGTGGATATGCAGGACAACGTCTGTTTGGTCCGCTAGTATTCATATAAAATTTGAAGTGAATCCATGTAGTAATTTTTGAGTTTAGCCCGGACATTATATACAGACAAAAATTCAAAAGACCATATTTTTAACTTTGGTATCGTTTGTAGATTACGCCCCAAACATTATTTTAATAAAATATTCAATGTACATTTCTCACTTTTCTAAGATTTTATATGTAGGTATAGATAAATAAATCTTTTCTTCTCTATCCGCGGTTTAACCTACTGTTCAATTCTTATTGGTCATAGTGTAATGTTTTATGACCTTATGACCTTTCTTATTAAAAGGACTATACAACATAAAGATGATTTTCTAAATACTGTCGGAGATTCGACATCTTTTTCAATATTTTTTAAAAGGTCAAGCCGGCCACCTCCCAATACCGCTGCAACTCCTGTAAGATGATCTTTTTCAATATATGAAAAGTAAAATTACAACAAGTGTGGTAAATCAGTGGCGTAACTATACCATTCGAGGCTCGTGGCAAATTCATTCGATGGGACCCGTTACCTATAAAAAGAGAGAAATTCAGATGAATGGCCCTGCCGGCTTCAAGCCTGTAGCATTTTTGCCGACTTGCCACCAGGCGAGATAGTGGCCAAACGCAACCTATGAAATGAAAAAAATTATGCCATTGTGGTCAATCCTTCTTCCTAGTCGTCTTCTTCATTACTGAAGGTCGTGTCTAGTCTGGTGCACGCGTCACTTGATGCACAACCCTCCTCCAAACGCCCCTGTCCTCTGCGGTCTTTATGGCTTGTGGAACTGTCAGGCCGGTTAGGTTTTTTACAGCATCCAACCACCGGGTAGGTGAGCGACCACGAGGTCTTTTCCCGTTAACCCGACCAACAACCACAAGCATTGTGGTCAATAAAAACCTTTAAATATTTGTTGTTCATTTTCCAGGTGACAAAAATCAATATAAACGGCCAATGGGAAGGCGAGCTACACGGCAAAATCGGCCATTTTCCATTCACATGTGTCGAGTTCTTAGACGAAAATCAGGCGAGTTAAAATTGTGACGTCACGGGCCATAGACAACGTGTCTATGGTTCTCATTCATAGACTGTGCTCATAGATAATGAGCTATTAATTTGCACAAGCTACGGTGAAGTGATTTTTGATGAATTTTTGAGTTTGATATTTTTAAAAGTATCGGTTTTTGGATTTGAATTTTGGTTATAGGTTATTGCCCTATTACATGGAACTTGTAATATACCTAAGTTATTAAAAAGAAGTGACGTAAATTAAGAAAAGCTTACACATTTCTGCTTACCTCTTCGAGTTACAAAAATGATACTTTTAACAAATATGGCGCTCAACAATATGTAATCACAATGCAAATAAAATACTGAATGTATCTATAATTTGTGAATAGAAATATTCACAAAACAAAATCGGCTTAGTTAATCTTTTTGTAACGCACAAACGTACATACATATTATTTACATATTATATTAAAATTGTATGTTTTCTTTACTATAATAATCGAAATGTACTAAAAAGCTAATATTTAAAACGAATCGATTTTGAGATTATTAGAAACTCATTTTTTAATGTGTATTTATTATTTTTCGCTATTTTTATTACTTACGTGTCGTGCATTTTATTGCATTTTTGCTATATTTACATTCTTTATGTAATTTTGGAGTCGTCTCATTATATGTACCAAAATGATTGCTATTTTTATTCCTTATGCTATTATACTACTATAAAAAAATATAAATACCAAAACATAAACAAAAAATAAATAAATACAGTCAAATTGAGAACCTACTCCTTTTGTTTCAAGACGGTTGAAAAGAGATTGAATTTTAATGAATTCCGAACTGGTAAAAGACAATGAGTGGATCGGAGGATTGTACGCCAATATAAGGAATCAAAATTCCTTACAGTTTCTCGCCATTTACCAGTTCGAAGCCCTCAAATACAAACCCACTACATCTATCATGCTTTTAAAAAAGGTGATAACGCATTTGTAACTCGTCTAGTGTTCCGGGTTTCCAAGGGCGGCGCTCATTGCTTACCATCAGGTGATCCGTCTGATCGTTCGCGTTCTTACACCCTGTAGTTTTGTCTGTCAGTAAAAAACTCAATAATGTCAAAGTTTTATTATGCCGAAATACGATTGTTAAGTTCTTCATAGCATAAGGAATACAAATACAAGGTAAAATCATCTCAAAAGCTATTTGGATCGAAGGACCATTGTTGAATGTTGCACTTGATGTTGAACTAACAGGCATGCGAATTTGATGTGATCTAACATTTTTATTGTTATTAATTTGACTTACGTCCAGGTTCTATAACCTATCTATCTGTAGATTTGCTTACTAGAGATAGAATTTTGACACATTTTGTATGGAGCTCATGTCAAAATTCTATCTCTAGTAAGCAAATCTACAGATAGATAGCTTATAGAAACTGGACGTTAGGTAATGGTGGTGATTCTCTTTTATGTGGAACTAAGTTCTGCCAGCCTTCGCTTACGTTTTAATGGGATGAAAGAAAGCAGTAGCACGGAGTCTGGAAATGTGCCCTGTATATGGCAATAGGCTCACCGCCTATTACATGGGACTCATAACATAAATAGTGAAAAGTGGGTGTTACATTGTACAGTGGCATTAAGTGCCATAATGTGCACCTCTGCCCAACCCTTCGGGGATAAAAGGTGTGATGTTATGTTATGTAATTTTTTTGAAAAGGCATTGTTTTAATTGGGTCGTCCTGCTAAAACCGCAACTCCTGTAAGCCAGGGTTTACACTGAACAAAGATACAACCATGAAAAGACCGAAACACTGAATATCGGTGCGTATCAAGAACATGAATAAATGTCTTGGATCGCGAAACGTAATAAATGAGATAATAATTTGACCACTTTCACTAGGTCCATTGACTTAGGAGAATAAAAATACATTTACTTCCCCCACAATTAAAGGTTTGCTCAAAAAACAAAATATCTTAAAAGTATGACATGTATTATTTAAATATCTTAAATAATACATGTCATAGTTTTATTTAGCACTTTTGTCAACACCTTTGCAGGTAATAAGCGTAATATTATAATGTAAAAGAGAATCATCATTTTTATCCTAATAAAATGCTACTTGACATAGGAATTGGCACTTTTCATATAACATTTGTGATTTATATATCAAAGAATATAAAATTAGAATAATTAATCGTTGTGAGACTAAAAAACATTAATTTCTTAAGACTTTGTATTGTATTTAATTAACACAACAGCTTTTGCAATAGAAATATTTCCTACGAGTCAAAGACAATACTTTTTTGAAATATTTCATGTTAGTCGACCAAGTTATTTAGTTATACAGGTATGAAAATAAATTCTAATTCAGTATAATAGAGACTGCCTCGTTAACAGAGTGGTCGCAAGTGCAGGTCGATATAACTGGGATAAAAAAAACAGTAGTAGCACGAAGTCTGGAATTGTGCCCGGTATATGGCAATATGCTCCCCCCCTACTACATGGGACTTATAACATAAATGGTGAAAAGTAGGTGTTACATTGTACAGTGATATTAAGTGCTGTAATGTCGCGCCTCTGCCTATCCCTTCGGGGATAAAAAAGCGTGATGTTATATTGTGTCTATAAAGAACCGGTAGCTATTGTTACACCCAATTTCACAGTTTTATCGAAGCCATAGCTTTTGTAAGCATTGCTCGGCTCAGTACCCAACCAATGATTACTGTCTCTATACTGAATCAATATCTATATTCTTATCTACATACTAAATAGTTTTGCTGACTTTTGACTTAGGAAACAACTAGCCTGTATTTATATTAACACAAAGCAAAAGGATTTGTATAGATTAGTTTCATTACACTTTCGATTTCGAGAGTAATGGCCTCCGGTTTGAGCCGACTTTCGGTCGATAACATAGACCAATGTTTAATTTTGTATGACAATGATTAAAAATCATGTAGTTTGTAAGTGATTATAAATTTTGTATGGAGTTTTAATCAGAAATATTCAAAAAAATAATTGTAATGATTCAGTTATATGAATAACTGCTCGGTTTGACAAAATATTTTCTAATGCTATTATTTCAACGCCTAAGCGAAGACAGATGACATTTTGTCTTTCACCAACATATAAATGACACCTAACAGTATGAGTAAGGGGTCAGTTTAGGTGGAACGTCACACTAAGTAACTTTTAGTTAAGAGATGGTGGTTTGTGAAAACGGCCATAAGAGATTTAGCTTTATTAGTGGTCGAGTTTTGATTAGCGGATCGATTCTCCACAGTAACATTTAGTATAATGTTCTACACATAATGACTTAACTAAAAATCGCGGGTTACTCACGTGAAAATACTGAGAAAAGCTCTACTAGTTTCGAACCACAGAGAGGTTGTTACTCATGAGCAGCGTGCGCGGTCGCGGCGATGTCGCGCGTAGTACTATCATTATTTTCACGCGAGTAACCCGTGATTTTTAGTTAATTTAGTATGCCTCACGATGGTTATTATAAAACACATAATGACTTTTGCAAAGCTTTTTTGAATATTTCTGGTTGAACTTTGAATGAAAGTCACCGGGCATTGTATACTTTGATAGTAAAACACAGTTTACTTAGCAGTTACCTTGTGGTTTATTGAAATAACTTGTGCCTAAAAAAGAACTTCATTTTCCCTTTATACCGAGTTATCTAGGGTTAGTAAAATATGTATTCTTCGTCTATTCTCTCTCAGTTACTGTAGACTTCAAGGAATTGATTGAAATATACTCTTATAACATTAACTTTTTAACCTATGTCGACCCAAAAACTTTAAAATATCTTCTGTTTTATAAGATTTTCTGATACACAAGTTAGTTCAACGAACCACATAATTATTTCCATAAGGAATTGATATTTATATTGTATACATCGAACACTGTTTGACTGTTAGCTTTGTAACATTTTTACTGTAATATTGTACATTTTTGACATGCTTATACTAGTTAATTGGTTATATTTTTGATAATATTAACTTTAATGAACTGTTGAATCACCTAACTTATGTGTTTGAAAGGTAAACAATGACCTAACTTGTGTGGTACGTCCCCCAGTTAGGGCAGAGAGTGTCTATAGAAGTTCTTGATCACAACCGGTCTTGAGCTTCACGCTTCAATACAATCAGTCATCATAAATATTAAAATAATATTATAATATAATGCACTCGTGTTATTTGCGCAAACTTAACCACATTTTAGCGCAATGCGCAAACAATGTAAGTTCTATAATAGTTTAGCGCAAAACTTAGGCTAAATGTTAGCGCAATGCGCAAACTTTGTTAAAAGACCTAATCAACAGTTCATTCTAGTTGAAAAAGTTATCAAAATTATGGCTTAAGACCGCGACGAAATGTTTACCTGCACCGCTAACCGTCATTTTTAATAACCAATCCAATGTTTTGGCTACTAAAGATAGAATTTTGACACATTTTATGTTAAAATTCAATTTTTAGTTGACAAAATAAAATGGTAGATAGGTTATTGAAAATTGACAAATGTTGCTAAGTTGTTGATCATCGCTGACTAAATCATCTAGTGTGTGTGTAGTCTAAACGGACTTGTGATGTAAGTATGTGGTGCTTTGCATCTACAAATGTAAAATTTGCACTAGCTAGATGGCGCTGCTATTAATTAAAGTCTTGAAAGTATAATCTATACTTAAAAAAAAGTACTTTACTATCAGTATTTTACTGAAGCTTTAAAGACAAACTAGAACTGGACTTTAAGTCTGCTCGTTTGCTTCTTACTCCATAAAAAAAACAGAAATACAGCAATTCAATTAATAGTTTAATCACCTGTCAAGCCAGGGTCATTATGGAAAACCCTTCTTAGGGTCTTATAGCTCCATCTAGTGATGTGTAAGTTAGATGTTTCCTATTGCAGTGTTTGGGTGACAATTTCGTTGTGCAATGAATCTTAGTTACTATTGCTGGTGTTATTATGGGTTTATGGTAATATTATACAAATAATGGATGGACTACTCACTCGATATAAGGTGGATTATTCATCTATCTGTGAATATGAATATGAAATAAAGCCGTTTTTATTACATAAGTTAAATATTGGGATATCGTTACTGAAACATACATCTGATTTTATCTATATTTATTATCATGATTCATGTTCCATAAACCCATAATATCACCCTAAGTAAAGTAACAAAAATATGGGATTGTGACGTCATAAGTCGTTTTTGAAATAAATCACTAGTTATAGAAGGTCGATCATCAAAAAATCGATAAATTATATATTTTAGTATAAGTCCATGTTAAATATACTCGAGTCACAGGCTAATTTTTATATATTATATTTTTATTTTAAAACTCTTCGGTGGTAACATTATCGCAAGCAAAAACAGCTCTTTAAGTTAAGAAATAGAGTCGATAATGCTACCACTCTAGTGTTTACGATTTCCTTTTTTTGTAATTTTATACTTACAATCTTGTTCTTCCATTTTTTTGTTTTGTACCATGATAGTGTAAGTTTTGTTTATAGTGTAATGACGTCACTATTGTGTAAATATAATTTTCCACCGATTTACTTGTGACTTGAGTTATTTTTTTGAAGTTGTCACCTTGTTTCTGATTGGGGGTGTTGGCTCTAAAATCGTTTTTATTTATATCGATATAAGAGTGGGTTTTCTTTATAACTGTTGAGTACATAAATGTTGTACCAACATTGAATATTTCTAAAGGCCACTTTTCTAATGAAAACTATTGATAAAGTTTTTCGATACTAATTTTTCCAATAGATTATTGAATTACGAATTGAATTGCAATGCATAAGAAATGTTGAATAAGTTTTTTTATTATTAAGACTGAGTTTTTTAGTACACTGAAAAAAAAACAACTTTGACAAAAAATAAATAAAAACGTAATTTTAATCTCGAACGCCAGTCAACAGTTGTTGGCCTCTCAGAAATGAGGTGTGCTTCCGAAATATACCATAGTCAATATTTTTATATTCGCACAGGTGCAACAAAAATGTATTTAGTTTAGTATTGTAGTAGATAACTGGCCAAGTTTATTGATATTGTTTCTTCTGTCCAACGTTTCCAGTTTGTTTTCTATTGTGTTGGAGTTTTTCTCATGTTTTAACAATTCTTTTCTAGTTTTTTTTTTATTTAAACACATAATAACTGCCTAAAGTTAGACTTAAAAGTCCATTTCATTTCATTGTACAATTTTAATGTGAATTATACGTAATTTCTGCTTATCATATCTCAAAAAATACCACTAAACTTGGCCAGTAAAAAAGAAGTATTGAAATTTTAAAGAATGGTCTTGTTTATTTTATTCTGAATTAGTACATACATAGACATACCAAAATGTTATCGACTTGTATAGAAACCATTATATTTTGAGATTACATGTCATACTGTAATGCATTGTACACTCTTTTTAAGTCATATAAAAATTTAAATACATCTAATTTTTTATTAAGTTATGTGTAACGGTTCGAAATAAATTTTAGGAAAGATTTGCTGTTGTTTTATTTGTTTCTTACTTATCTCGAAACTTGGGCTTCCAACATTTATTTTTGCACCAAATTAATATCTCGCTTGCTGCAAAATCTTATTTTGTGCACAAAAATAGCCTTTTTAAGGAGGGTTTTTGCTGCTTCACCTAACAATGATGGGTAAGGTGGAAGGGAAGAGAAGTGCTGGGCGAAGAAAAAAAGTCGTGGCTACGCAATACTTGGGAGTGGACCGGTATCAGCTCTGGAACTACTTTTCCGCCTGGCCAATGACAAGGACCAATTCAAAAACCTGACGGCCAAACAGAAGAAGGGGGTATAATCATGCAATGTCTTCTCTCGCCTTAGGTAAGGTCAGAGGGAGTGTCAGACTCTTACTGACTAAAAACCACGCTGTTCCTACTCCTGCTCTTCGAGACTGAGACCCGTCGATCCTAAGTCTAAGTCTTCTGCAACACAAAAATAGCTTAATGCCTTTTTAACTTAACTAGCGAAATGTGGGTGTTGATATTATTATTTCAACGTATTATATAGGAGGACGTTGAAAAACGGTGTTATATTTTTTCAAAGAAGGCTGTGGAAGGAGATTTTGCAATTTGAATGCAATGCATAGACAAAAAAAAGTTTGCAAAAATGTCTAGTGTATAGGCTCTCTTATAAGCGTAGTGCTGTAAAATTACACACAATTTTACTTATCGATTCCAATAAAGTAGTAAAATATAATCGAACCATTATACTAATGTTATTGTTTTAATTGTTTTATGCAACATTTTCAGAGAAATCGTAATAGGTAGTTTAATTCTTTAGTTTAAATTATTATTAAAAATTATCTGTGTTTATATTATTTTAATCATATTATTCCACACAGTTTTCGATAGCATCATTATGTCATTTGCTTCGAATATTTTTGTTAATGGCAATCGATACTACTAGTAGAACTAGTTTTGAAAGCGTACATCACTAACTGGTTTTGACAACTAAATTGAAGTAAATGGCTGATTGTGATTGTGGCTAGATCGATTGGGGAAAATGCGAAAAAGGACTTGATAAAAATAGTTAATTAGTGCTATATATCTTCTCTCCGTTCAATAACTAAACACTTATTTGAGTATACAATGTGGATTAAATGATACAAAGCTGTGCAAAGAGCTGAATGCCGGATAACTGTATCGTCGGTCAACCGCGTCCGCAGCCGGTACATATTACGCCTTCGACTAATAACTGCTGACTGAAAATAATTAATTACAGCTAAGTTTAATTTAGAATGAAGTGAATAGACGTTAAAACAATGGTTTTGTGTGCAATAAACATGGTTACGGCCAAGTTACGTCAAGAAAATGCAAAATAAAAAACATCGTGATTGATTTGTTACTGCAATCCCTTTTTTATTTAGTTTTTGTGGTGAGAAAAGTAGGTTAGCTCGGTCAGCAATGGAAATGTCGGTGCCTTTGGTTGAAATTTCCGTGAAGCCGGAACCAATGGACGAGGAGGGCACGAGTCAGGAAGACAATCTGAAACAAGACAACTGCAATTGTAAGTAATTTGCATATTTAATAATACAAGAGAACATTTCAAGAATCTGTCAATTTAACTGTTTATAGTAAGTTGATTTCATTACTAATTTAAGAAATAGTATCAGTTCAGTTGTATGTCTCCTGTCTGAAGGGATGTCACATTCATTGTGTCATACAGCAAGATATTATCTTAGTTACTCGTAAATATTGTAAAAAATACTTACTTGTGTAGTTTGTGAAGTTGAATGTTACAAGATTTTTGTATGCAAACACTTGACAGTGTTTATGTATGATATTTAGCAATAAACTTATACTCAGGAACGCAGTCATTACTACTGACGGAATTTATTATAACCTAGGTACAGATTACCTACCTCAATTTCACTATTTACCTAATCAACAATGAATAAATACATAATTAGTAAACCTAAGTTGAAAAATAATCAATAAGACAACTCACATCGTTACCTAACTAAATAGCTTCATTTTAAATTAGTTTTGTTGATATTCACAGGCGTATTCTTCATCTAATTGAAGTAAATGATTTTGACTTTTGACATAATTAATTTCAGTACGATCAGAAGAATTATGGATAAAACCGGAGCCATTGGAAGATGAATCTCAAGATTCCAGAGAGGGGGAGACATCGGATAATGAGACTGGTCTAGAAGGTGGAGATGAGGACCTTGGGAGTGAGTATTGATAACTTTAACTTTAATTTACTAATCCTTTTGGGGCATAATAATTATATTGTTATGGAAATTATGTCAATTACTCAATTCTTTTGGATTTTGTGGTGAATACTATAGATATTACAGCTTAACACTAAACCATTTTAACTCGTAAATGTCTGATTATGAAAAATCCACAACATTTGTTCATACAAAAATAGTCTCTAAACGTTGGAAATAGGGTCTATAATGGTGTAAGTGGAGAGTGGTCAGCGGTGACTGCTTGGGTCTTGACCAATTGGGCAATTAGGCAATTAGGCCACTGCCCCTAACGATACCTATGACTGAATGGCGCCTGTTTCACTGAATCTGAAAATTTCTTTTAGTTTTACTGGTAGATAATAACACATTTTGTTAATCAAGCTAACAAAAGCTTACAAAGCGGTGATATAGGTAATTTATTATGTTGATATATCATACCCAAAATTAGTTTATATACAAAAGTAAAAGTGGAGAACTTCTAAACTTCGGAAATAAGGTCTCCACTGTCATGACATTTAATTGTTGAATTAGCACTTATGTGTAAGTGAAAATTAAGTAATTAAATGTTTTAAGTATGAACAAGCTGGACATAAAATATTGAATATTTATACACAATTTTAATGTAATAATGTAGAGTAGTTAGTAGTTTGAAAATAATCCTTTTTTTTAATTGGCTACAGAGAAAATATAGTACCTTTGTATGTTTATGAAGTTAATCTTAAACTGAAGCAATTGAATATATTATCTATGAGTAAGTAACCGTTCCATCCTCATTATTTAACTGTAGTGTGAGAAAAAAACCGATTGGAATTAGATTTAGACTAGTTAGAAGGGGGAAAAATTACATGTTCACTACTGTTATCTGCTCAAAACAAAATCATATTGATTTTTCAACTGTGAATTACATTTTTACTTTCATTCATAGTGCCCTACAGAACTCCATTATTCCTCTACTAATTACTTTATATTAAAATATATTACATGTCACTAATATGCATGTGTGGCTAAAGGAACTACTACATAAGAGAAAGAAATATAAATATGGAAATAATATTGTCAAAGGGCCATATTGCCCTATTTATTATAATATACCCCTTTTTTATTATTTTATATGTATTTATTAGAGATTATGGTGACTGTATTTTTTAAATTTCCAACATTACTAACAAACAATTTTACAACGATAATTTCTCCCCTTATTCCGGCACTGTGTCAGTTCAACAAGTTTTTATTAAAAAAAAAAACAGAAAATACATCATAAAACCGCATGCTGTAAGTATACGAAAGTTATACTTGTTGAAATATTCGAGGGTGACCAACCAATAAATATAATTTTTGTTTTTAGGGAGCCGACAACCTAATGCCCCTTCGAGGAGACAGATGAAGGTTTTCCTTGACTTTCTGAGTGAGCACACTGATCTTGCTAACTGTCTGTTGAGGGGGCCAACTGGGAGGGCTAAGGCTTATCAACTTTGGGAAGATATTGCGGAGAAACTTAACACTATCAGTGGTTGTACTAAGACTACACAGCAGTGGCAGAGGGTAAGTTTGTCTTTCTTTAAACGTAGATCGCAACAATAGCATATTCTTTTCTCTCGTCGCGTGTCACGCTCGGTACAACCATTTGTAGAATGTTTACATGAGAGAGCGATGCTTCAGTATTCGCGTTGTATTTCGCCGTGTGAAATGTGTGTACTGTAGGCCCAATCTTCCCAAACAGCCGGCAACGCACTTGTAATTCCACCAATGTAGCGCTTGCTCATTTGCCCCCTCTATCCAATAAAAAAAAAGCGCCTCTGGACACCCAGCCACATCGCTACAATGCATTCATTTGCATATCAAATAATAAATAATACTGTATTATTGCTTAATTCTTGTGAAACACTTCTTTCATCATGATAAGTATCGAGTTATCGTCTATGTCGCTACCTCGCTAGTTCACTGTGAGTTAGCATTATTTCTTATCCAGTATCTCTTTTAATACTATCTTACATGGTGTTTGGGCAGGTAAGTAAGCACCTTGCCTTGGGATTTGTAATCACTATTTTGCAACAGATAAATGGAGATTGCGTCAGATATTGTCTCTTCATTCATAAATTTCACCCTACAAAAACACTTAAAGATAAATGAACCTCATAGAAACTTGGTGTACTCAAAAGACCAGTATTTTACTCCGGCCTGCTCCTTTATGATGCGGAGATCTGATTATGTGTGTGGCGACGCATGCCACATGTCAACGGATGACGTCACAAGAATCCTACATCGCACATGCAAAGTTTACAAGCGAATAAACACGGATAGAAAATCCCAACGAACAACTGTTGGGCAGAAAGCCCGCCAGGCACGATCACCTCGCCTGGTCGGAGGATCCTCCTTTTCCGATCATAGGGAACTATACTCTATGTTCCCTAAAGTGGTGACCCCGACGTGATTGGAAACAACCTTCACTTCACGGAGCAGATTAGCACCGTCATCCGTATCGCCATCCCTCTCATTCATCACTTCTCCGCTGAGCGGTAATCAAGTCGCAGCCAACCAGCATCCTCGGCCTCATCAGGGACCACCATCACCTGCAACGAAGTTGTGCAGCCTGGTTCTTCCCTACGGCCTCACCAGCGTCTAGGCACAGCACTTCTGCACACGGTCTGAAGGACACCTCCTCCCGTCAACGCAGATGCCGGCCACTACGCACCTACCCTCGCAGCATCTCTTCCCGACTCACCGTGGGACACTGCGAACTCATCTCTCCGACTCACTGGAGTTTCACCCTGCACCGCTGACCGACTCTGGGCACTCAGCGGCACGGTTCCGACCCACTGGAACTAGGGACGTTCTACACTGGCTCTGGCGCCACTCATCTCAAGCATCGACAGCCGTCTCAGCGGGATCGACCTCCGGTCTTGGGAGGGAGTGATGTGGCGACGCATGCCACATGTCAACGGATGACGTCACAAGAATCCTACATCGCACATGCAAAGTTTACAAGCGAATAAACACGGATAGAAAATCCCAACGAACAACTGTTGGGCAGAAAGCCCGCCAGGCACGATCACCTCGCCTGGTCGGAGGATCCTCCTTTTCCGATCATAGGGAACTATACTCTATGTTCCCTAAATGTGGAACTAGCTTCTACCAGTGCCTTTACGTGCTTTCCCGTGACATAAAAAGTATCTTCCGTATTATTCCAGACCATATCTACCCTTGTTCTAAATTTCATTCCGATCCCTACAGCCTTTTTGACGTGGTTGAGTCACAAACATACACACAAACTCACAGCCTTTCGCATTTATATTTAACTAGCGGACCCAACAGACGTTGTCCTGCATATAGTATAATAATTGGTATAGATAAATAACCTAGATACCGACTGCAGCGCCATCTGCCGGGTTGATTTGTGAATCTAAACCATTCCCAGATCCCCTTGAACACACACAAAAAATTTCATCAAAATCGGTCCAGTCGTTTAGGAGGAATTCAATGACATACACACTCATAGAAGAATTATTTAAATAAAGATTTAGTAAGATACTGTTCTTATTATTGAGTCAGAGAAGCTCAACCAACTTCTCTCTCTAAACTACACTCAGAGCCGAGCGATATGAATGTCGACTGTCAGGAAGTTTCAAAGTAGCTAAACCACTACGTAGATGCGACGTGCAGGAGAGGGAACGGGCCACCCCGTTTTTAGTCAGTAAGAGTCTGACACTCCCTCCCGCCTCACTCGGGCGGGAGCAGTCATTCGATGATTTACCCCCCTTAAAAAAAAGATGCATCTTTTAACGCCAACATGCATAGAGTGCTTTAACCTGAACGCATATTTTAGCCATCATCTCACGCGACAGCAGTTCCATATTTTATTATATGAACGACATGATGTTGTTTTGATCCTTAATTTTGTAAACCAAGCATGACACTGTTTATTTGCAATACTAATCTTCATAGCAGGTGGATAAGATAATATGAAATTGAAAATCTCATGGTTTCACATTCATCAATTGTAAGCAAAATATTTGTGATTAGATATAAGTCGATTGTTCATTTTATGAATGACCCCTGTCAGTTTGGTTTACGGGTTAAGCATGAATATTAAGCATTTGGATTCGGATTAGTTAGAGCAAGGAGTATCAATGGGTTGTTTTTTATTCAGTTCACACTTGAAGAACATACTTTGATACACGATCTATTTGTGTGCGTTACCCAGGCCAGATGTTGACAAAATGGTCATTTGAATCTTATAGATTATTAGTTTTGCGGCTTCTGTAATTGTTGCGCTCATTTTTTAAATTTGTAGCGCTTATAGTTTTTTAAGGGAAATTATATGTGCGGCAACAAAAGTTTTCTTTAGCACCTGCAACCTAGCGTCTTTTTTTATATGTGAGCGACGAGTTAATAGAACAGCTTCAATTATATTAATTCATCATCTTTACTATTCCAACAAAATATCAAGAAACCAGCGTCAATTTACGAGCGTAAATTAATATGACTCCGAGCTACCGATAAATATATTTACTTCTGATTTGATAACTCAGCGACTAATGTTGACTGACTGCACAGCAATTTTGGGCACCCCGAAACATTTGGTTAGGTTAGGTTAGAACTGCGACCCTCACAAGGCGCGAGGCGAGCGAGCGTAGCGAGCGGTGCCGCGGTAGCGGCCGCCGAGCGTTATATCACTAACTGCTTTTCAAATCTTTTCATACCATTTAGCCGTTTATATTAAAAATATTAGTTTAAATGTTGCGTCATATTAACAGTAGCTTGTTTTACAATATATGGTCGCTTATAAACCATTTATTAGACGCTAAAAGTTTGTCGCTGACCTATTAATTCATTAGACAACTAAATATATTTGCAGACGAGAATGACATTTTAAAGAAGCTGCCTTAATTAGCACCCGTTTTTTAATTATTTCACAAAAATATTCTCTGCTGGGGTAACGTTACCCCAGCCAGACCTTTTTCCTTCTAATGGAAATATTT